TTTGCCAATGGAACAAGACAATTTAGATTTAAAATAAGAAAACACAATTGCATTGTCGCATTCCAAGTGCATATTATCTAATTATCTTATTTTAAGGGTAAAAATACTAATTCCATTGGCAAATTATCAAATTTACCTGTTCAAATACACTTAATTTAAGACATTTTTACTTATTTCTAGATCACTTTTGCAGTGCAGTTGGTCATATGTCATTCAAGGGCTCATCTAATTGGTCAAATGCCAAATAGATCTTGTGCTTCTAGACTTCACTGGGGGGGGACTCCATTAGTAAGGGATAACCGCCCGATAACGGGTTAATAACAAAATCTTTATAAATAATAACACTTGGATAAATCCTTCATTATTAATTAGGAATGCTTATTTTACACTTATTTAGGGTGAATTAAAAAGCTACAATTATCAGATTACATTTAAAGTGTAAAACAATCTTTTTATTTTAAGGTTTAATCTCTGATCTTTCTCAGCCATGATTGCTTGATTTATTGCAGCTGTTTGGGTAAATCTATGCTGTTTCAGTCTGTGGTATCTGAGCTGGAAAAAATTTAAAAGCCAACTTGAAATGCTTTGATTATTCTCTTAATTTTACTTGGAGCAAGATGGAAGAAATCTGTACACATAAGTCACGATAAAATGAAATCCATAAATTCCTAAGTGGTTGTATTGTTATAAGACTTGAAAAGATGGATGAGGTCTCAGATGACAAAGCAAAGCCTGCTTTTATGTTTCTGGCCCTGTTAAAAAAATAAAATAAAAAAAAACAATCCTATATTCCTGTGGACTTTTATCGATCTTGTCCCTGATGAGTCTTTCTTCTCTTCCCCCCAGATGCCCTCTCGGAGTCCCAGGCGCTGGAAGTCAAAGGAGGAAGCTCGGGCTGGCCGGGGGGATCGGAGCGTCGAGGGGGGCCCCTGGGGGGCCCCAACCCCCGGCCCCGAGCCTTTTCCCAAAGCGCTGTGCACACCCTGGAGCAGAGGGAGAGGCAGAGGGAGCTGGAGAAGGTATGAGGTCGTTAATCTGTGGCTCCCAGCTAGAAGACAGACTCCAGAGACAATAAATAAAAAAGAAAGAAACTTCTAGACAAAAAAAACTAGAACAGAAATATGTTGATTAAAATGCTTTTCATCCTTTCAACTAGTAAAGAAAATCTAAGAGTACAAAACCCAATGTTTTCTATATCTTACAGATTGAGCATGTTTTCCTCTCCCAGGGTGTTTTTCATTGATAGTTTCCAGCCTTTCTATTGCTCATTCTTCAGACTTTTATTGCTTTTTCACATATTTCAGTCCTATTTGGTGCATTGTGTCCTTAAACATCTAAGAACACTCTACAAAAGTAAAACATTATCCTTACTCGAGGAAAACTGCTAAAGCAGGAAAAATAATTACAGATTCTTTTTACTTAACTTAATAATTGAGAATTTTAAATGGCTGCTGCTGACTTACTAGTCTCTATGGTGAGTTTTAATCTCAATAAGACTTTACCTGCTTGAATAAAGGTCACATAAACTGTTTGCATGGTTGATTGATTACTTGATAAATAGAAAATAGAGGGAAATAAAGAAAGATTTCCTGTATTTGACAAACAGCAGCTGCCAGATTAGAGGATTTGTTAGATTTGATGTTGTTTTCATTATTTATTGACATAATTTCAATGGAAACAGTTTTATTTTTTGTTTTTTTAACCTTTCTTTCTGACTCAGATCTTTTCTAAATTTAGGGGTGGGTAAGATATCTGATTTTAATATTTATTCTGTGTTAAGTCAGTAGGACAACACACCTGCCTATGAGGTGGTGATTTAGGGTCCCAGGTGGAGCAATTTGTTGTTTTTTTTCTCTGCTGCCGATTGAAGCCTTTTTGTAGTTTGAAGCCCACTTGAGGCTAAGCTGGGTTTAGCCTTTGAAAGAGCTTCAATGCTGCAGACTAAATAAGCAGAGTTTCATGCATCTGTCTGTGTTTGCAAAAGTTAGCGAGCTGTTGCTGCTGCAGGCTGGTGACTCAGCCTGAGCCGCACGAAGGGACTTATTACCAACCTAAATATCTTTGTTTTTCCACCCAAACAGCTCAACATGAGAAAAAAATATTATCTTTTAAAGGATTTTAACTTTCTGACTGATCAATTAAAGCTGTTAGACTCAAACGAAGACTGAACTGACTCAGTTTGATACGTAATAACTTATATTTACAGGTTAGTTTGTTAGCTTAAGTAAAAGTTTGATTGCATTTGTATTGAATTGGATGTTTTAAAGTGAACAAGTGACGAGACAAAAACACGTTTGTACTCCTGTTTGCAAAAATGTACAACAGATTTTCATCTTATCCCTGTCAGTGCGGCTGATAAAAGTACATGTTACATGGATAAAAATATATGTTTTACAACAATAGAACAGAAGAAAAGCTTTCCCACATCATGAAGCTGCCACAACTATACAGAATCAGAGTAAAGTAGTTTTTATTTTTCAAGTTACAGCAATTTGTTTAGTGATACGCTGCAACAAATAGAGTTGACATGTAGATTTGGGAATGTCTTATTCGGAAACTAAAAGGCACATCGCAGCTGCTTTTTCTAACTCTGCTTCTGTCTCCTTGAACCCCAGTCGGCCTCAGCAGATGGCCGCTCACACTGAGCCCGGTTCTGCTGGAGGTTTCTTCCTGTTATAAGGGAGTTTTTCCTCTCCACTGTCGCTACAAGCATGCTTAGTGTGAGGGATTGTATTTGAGTCAATGAGTCGATGCAATCAGCTGGTTTTCCTTAAATAGAAAACTTTGAATCAATTTGACTGGATGATCTGGTTGAACTGTAAAGAGCCTTGAGATGACATGGTGTGAATTGGAGCTATATAAATAAACTGAATTGAATTGTAAAGGAGTAATAAGAAAATAGAGAGAACCGGTTTAGAGAGGAAGAGGAAGGCTCCAGATATTTAATACATATAATATCTATCCGTTTTTATTACACACTTACAATATAAGGTTAAACTAAATTTCACTTTTGATATGCTGAGATATTTGTATTACTAGCAATGGGATAGTGTCACAGGGAGACATTGTAGATGAGGCTAGATGTAGACTGGGTCTTCTGGTCCTGATGGACCGCAGCCCTCCCCGAGGGCCTTGTCACACCTTGCCGATTTATCCAGCGTACGCCAGACGTCCCAGAATCTCCTAAAGCCCTGGCATACACTGAACTTTCTATATATTTTTTTCAATTTCGGACGTACACAGAGCATAATGATAATGTTTCGAGAGGGTATGTCCAGCCTAACTTATGCATAACGCACGGCAGCGTAATCCCCATTTAATGATGCACAACCCAGTGTCCTGAGGGGGGCAGCGATGCACCCGAAGGCACCCGGTCTGCATAAAAACATGTCTTTAATTGTGGTATTAACCTGGCCAGTGTTGTATAAAGTACTGAAATCTCGAAGTCATGTAAAAGTATAAGTACCTCTCCAAAATATGACTCTGGTAAAAGTCCAAGTCACTGACTGAACTGTTACTTGAGTAAAAGTCTTAAAGTATCTGTTGTACTTAAGTATAAGACTTTTTTTACATTTTGGTAAACTTTGAAGGTTAAATTCACTTAAAATAATATAAACAACCAGCTTTGCAAAACAGGCGTATCCTATTGTGTTAAAGAACAAGCACAGGCAAGACCGAACTTGCGTTTTGTTCGTTTTTTGTTTTTTTTTTACTTAGTAACTAAACCTAAACATTGAAAATGTATCGGAGTAAAAGTACGCAATTAAGTTTGTAAATGTAAGGAAGTAAAAGTGAAAGTTCTCAAAAAAATGTATACTCTTGGAAAGTATAAAGTACTCCAAAATATACTTAAGTACAGTAGTGAAGTATTTTTACTTCGTTACTATACAACAGTGAACCTGGCTACTATTTACCGCCCGTCCCCAAAAAAAAGATGACATAAAACGAAAAAAGAAAGAAGGTTTGCAATCGCAGCAGATTCAGCATCATGTCTGGAAGTAAGTTTGTTTGATTCATGATACTAACCTTCTAGCTCACCCTAGACTGGAGGAGAACTTACAATTTCCTCCTGTAAACCCATGTTTATAACAAAACGCTG